GCAAAGACTTTATCACATGACTCATTTAACAATCCCAGAAGGAAAGGCACAACTCACTTTTATTTAAAATAATCATAAATATTCAGAAAAATATATTTGGTACATGGGAAACACATCAGCTGTTTGGCAGTTTTTATGAATTGCAGATTTGGGTATCAACTTCCATAATAAAACTTACTACTTGATTATTTTATATAATGAAATAATTTTTGGAATATATTAAAGAAAATAGGGATTTCTTCTGGGATTATAGACCCCCCCACCCCCCCACACACACATTTGCATTGATGTTCAAAAAGTCACACTGAAGTGAATTTTAAAAAAATTCTTCAGGGATAAAACTACTTAAATGATCAAATATCTGAAATATTTGACTCATATCTTATTATAAAAAGGGCCACTTTCTCAGAAGTGCACAATGCTGTCCGCTAACGAATTGTCTTTGCACTGCAAATATATGAATTGGATCATATGTTGAATTTGAATATTTAACTGCTTTGGTGAGCAATTAGGATTCATGCTCTATGCTTTCAATCTTTTTTGAATTTTTTGTTTTTTTGTTTTGTTTTGTTGGTTTTTTGAGACAGGTTTTCTCTGTGTAGCTTTGGAGCCTATCCTGGCACTCGCTCTGGAGACCAGGCTGGCCTTGAACTCACAGAGATCCACTGCCTCTGCCTCCTAAGTGCTGGGATTAAAGGTATGTGCCACCAATGCCCAGCTATCTTCCAATCTTTTTAACGAAAGACCCAGGACAACAAGATGTTTTTTGTTTGCTACATGTGTCTACCTTGAAATAAATACTCAACAAGTAAAATTGGACTAGGTATGGATTTATGTTCAACTATATAACTGAAACAAGAACATAATAAATTACTTTTATTAGTCTCAGAGGATTTCTCTGTCCTCTGAAATGTTTTCTTACATTAAAACCAATCCTTTCTGTGTTTTCTAGCCCCTAGACTATGAAGCCATGCAGAATCTGCAACTTAGTATTGGTGTGCGAAATGTAGCTGAATTCCACCAGTCCATTATTTCTCAGTATAGAATCACAGCAACTATGATCACTGTGAATGTGTTGAATGTAATCGAGGGCTCAGTGTTCCGGCCAGGTTCAAAGACCTTTGTAGTGAACAGTCAAATGGGAGCAAATTACAAAGTGGGAGACTTTACAGCTACCGACCTGGACACTGGCCTGATTTCAACAAATGTTAGGTAAGAATGGCATTTTCCAACTGAAGTTATAACTTTGGGGGATTGTGAGAAGGGAAGATGCAATCTTAGGGGAGAGGATAGGGTAAGTGGATGAATGTGACATGAAAGCAAGAACTATTTGGGGGAAGGAAGGGAACCAGCCAGAGGAGGGCAGAAGGTATGAGGTGGATAGGAGAGAAGAAGGATGCATGAGATCAAAGTGCATGACAGTATGTATGAAAAGACACAACAAACCCATTATTTTGTATACTAACCTTAAAGAAGTGATTTTACAAAGTCTCTTTTTAAAGAATAACTTTAATTCCTATTGTATTCCTTTGAATACAGATATGTAATGGGAAATAACCCGGCTGACCTGCTGGATGTTGACTCAAGAACAGGCATAATAACTTTAAGAAACAGAGTTACTATGGAACAATACCAAATGCTTAATAAGAGATATGAAGGAACAATACTATCCATAGATGGTAAGAAATCAATTTAGCTTTCTTCCAGAGAAAACCAAGCATAAGTATTCTCAGATAATTTAAAAATTACTATCCTATTGTAAAGAAATCCCCTCTCCATTTAAAGTTGTAACATTGAGCACTGTATGCTCAAACTGTCAACAGTATGAGGCTAAGACCACAATGAAGACTGTGGTGAGCCTGGATGGCTGTTATGTCCCATAACTTACTGATTATTGAGCTTATAAATCCATCTCACCCATCTACATCCCTGTTTTCTGCAAAATGGGCCAATAACAATATATGCTAATAATGTTAAAGATAGCAAAACATGCAGCAATAGCATGAACATCATTGAGTGCATGGGGATAGACTTTAAGGTCAGATAAGCAGACTTAGAACTATGCCTGTTTCCCATCTCCAGAGATTTTATTCTTTTTATTCAGAAAGTACATAGGAAGTCCTAAATAATTAAATGCTAGCCTCTGTGCCAGACTCTAGGGCTCTGTCAGTGAAAATAGGGCTCATAGCTTCACAATAGCGCAAACCAAGCTTTACTCATGCCCTTATTCCTATCTGGTGATCCCACTTCCAATAATCTTTGGTAAAGTACTGAATATAGAAGGATGATTTCATGGAGATGCTGGCACAGCACTGTCTTCACCAGGTACTATTGAAAGCCATATTCCCAGGTAACTGAGGAAGGAAACTATAGTCCATTTGATACAAAATTATGTACCTGTCAGAAACTATGTTAATAAAATGTATATGGAAGCATGAAAGAGTGTGTGCACTTAAAGTAAAAACAAAACAAAGCACACCCTCAAATCCCATTCAAAGTAAGATGGACCATAAGATCATATCAATAAATAAGCAACATGAGGCTTATCACTACTGAGGACAATTGATCATGAAAGAATCTACAAAACTATCCTTATATACTGATGCTCTGTATTAGCTTCTGGCGTCAATTCACAACTGTCTGTGTTTTAGCATTATTCAATTTAGATGTAATATGTAACTAGCAACACTATAAACTATCCAGCAAACAGTATTGCTGGTAATAATGATTAGGTTAGTTATAATAACATAGTCATTGATTGGCCTACAAATTGAGTAGTAGGACTAAGGAGATGGATTGCTGACAGTTTCTAGAACTCCCACAAAAAGGACATATCTTTGTCCTGGTACCAAATAAAGGGTGAATTATCAATATGGAGTCAGGAAAAGATATTAGGGTATTTATTAGGGAGATGCCTTACTAACTCAGAGCAACCTAGCCAGCCAACAGGGACTAAGGTAAACAGAGCAAGCCGATGATGAAAGGGAAGAAGGGGCTACCATGTGCATGCCCCTCACTCTTAACCTTCCCCACGTTACCCTAACCACACCCTCGAGGAGGCGTGTTTAGGGGTTCCCTACATCTTTGGACACTTGTAATCTCACTGACAATGGGGAGGTGATCCTGGGGCTGAGTCTTTTGCTGGCTAGTCAGCCTGGTCTTTACTCCCGGAGTTTCAGCCAATTAAGGGCAACTGTATAAAAAAACAAAAAGTAGATAACACTTGAGGATCCCAACTAAGGTTGTCCCTACAGCCACACACAATCACATGCACAGTAGTCACGCAGACTGAGGGGAGTTACTGAGTTGATGAGAATAATGACAGAAACAGGTTGAGGCAGGCAAAGAAAATGGTTTTGTATTTCTGACCATTGTGAGGCTGTGTATAGACAGATATTCCACTGTGAACCTTATTACAGATAATCTTCAAAGGACCTGCACTGGAACAGTCATCATCGATCTTGATGGCTCTGGCTGGGTGACAAGCACAGATACAAACACAAGTGGTGGTGGTGGAAGTACAGGAGGTGGTGGCAGTGCAGGAAGTGGCACAAGTGAAAATACTTCCACTGAGGAAACTCAAGTCACCACAGGATCTTGGGAAAATGGCAACAATGGCTACGATGGTAATGATGGCGATGGTAGTGACCGGCAAAGAGGAGGAGACAATGTTCACTTGGGTCCTGCAGGCATCGGGCTGCTTGTTATGGGGTTCTTAATCCTAGGATGTAAGTACTTCAATACTTCTTTTGGCATGGGACTCTCAAAAAAGGTGGGGAAAGAAATAAGATTTTTCATTCTTTGATGAATATATTTTACATCCTCTTACATTGTGTAGTTATTCAGAAATGTTTGTGCTTAGAATTGAATTTACTGGGAGGGAAAATTCTACATGTAAAAAGCTAAGACCCTGAGAGGCATGGCATTGAGATAGAGAACTCCCATGGGGAAGAAATCAAGGTTGTGCCAGACTGTGTGGTAAGGGATCAAGCTAGGAAGCCTGGCTGGATCCTGGGGGATCTCATGCAATGTAAGGTTGCAAAGTTTAATGAAAAGAGCCAAACATGGCAGGTGTTCAAATTGACAATATATGTCTTCCAAGGATTACCTAGCAATTCTGAGTTTTGCTGTTATTCTTGCAAAATAATTACTGCTACTTCCCTCCAACAGCACTAGATGATGGAAAGCAGCCACAAGTGACCTCTGTGGCACATCCTAGGGCCACTATAGTGGCCTTAGTCATGGGCAGAAATACATAGAATCCAATGGATGTGCCAGGTGGACTTTTAACATTGCCCTGGATTGTGACAGAAACCGGGGTGCAAAGGGGGGAAGTATCTTAAAGCCTACAAACAATCATTAAGTTAACACAATTATTGACATTTGCAGCTGTGTGTGGTAGCACACATCTGCCATCCAGGCAGTTGGAAGGTTGAGGCAGGAGGATTATGAGTTTGAAACAATCCTGGAAAATATAGCAAAACTCTAAATAAATAAATACAAAAATGGTAACATTGCCATTTTCAAGTGCAGAATCATAAAATCTTGGTGGAAAAACATGCCTTATATGTTTAACTAATTATTCACAAAATGTATATTGAGATAGCTCACAAAATTTAAAAATATTGTTTCTGCCTTCATTTATCTATTTTCTTCAAAAAATATTTTTATTTTATGTTTTGCCTACATGTATATAAACATAAAATGCACAGGCCTGGTGCCTGCAGAGGCCATAAGAGGGTCCCACGAATCCCTTGGAACTGAAGCTATAGGTGGTTGTGAGGTACAGAACCTGGTGACAGAACCTGGGTCCTCTGCAAGAGCCAAAGCTCTTAGCCACTGAGCCACCTCCCCAGCTGTTCTTCATTCCTCTTAATGAATGAATAGCTACAAACAAACACTTCTTCACTCTGTTTTCTCTGACTTTAAATAACTCACCTTTGAAACATTTCATTGGCATAGATCCATCTAAACCACAGAGAAATTTGAGCATGCTGAGAGAACAGATTATAGTTAAACACTTTCTCTAGAATTTGAAATACAGTTCAAAAAACAATGAACATTCTGTATCAAGTAACAGAAATTCATCCCTATTGGTTCATAATAAATAGAAATAAGGACCAGGAAAAGTTCTATGAGAAAGATAATGAGTTTAAAAATACCTTTTTTACATCAAAATGAACCAAATAAAGGAAGATACAGGAATGCAGAATGGAATGTGAACTACATAAGAACAAAGATATCCCTCTATGATTTGTAGTCAATTCTTTGTTTTACTGAAGCAAAATAAATACCAAAGAGCTGATGGTGACTACTACAAATAATAGCTAACTTTCATTTTCAGTTCCCCTAATATCAATGTCCAATATCATAAAGGCTTTCAATGTTACCCACAAGGCTTTGGGTCAATGACTCTTCTACCAGGTTACAGATTTCCAAAACAAGCGAAACTCACCAACTTCTTTCCCTTCTCTTTCATTCTATCCCCCTCTCACATATGTCCTTCTTTAATTTCCTTCTACTATTTACTCATACTTTCTTTCTATCCACCCATTAAAAATGATCTAGAAAAATCCACAACAAAAGCAAATACGTGAGAGAAAATCTCAAATAGATTAGAAAGAAAAGACATTGCCAAAGGGTGATAGTCTCTATTTATGTGAGAAATGTTTAAAGAAAAAGTTGTCTCTGTGGGGGAAAAATTATAACCTTCATGGGGATAATTGAATGATATTTTTCCTTAAAATAGAGAAAGAAAACTGTGTGCAGATGGAAGATCCAAAGTGCTGCCTGAATTCAGCTTTCTTTAGTCTCTGCTGTTTTCTTGAGGGATAATGGGAGAAAGAATCAGCTATTTTAATCATGGTTTAATCAGATAACTGTAATTTTAATACTATAAAACAAACTAAAATGCTCTGCAGCCTTGTGCTTCCAAGTTCAAGCTTATTTGGGGGTCTTACCATTATTAATTTGTCATTCTGGCATTTAAAATGGTAATTTTAAATTCAGACATCTCAGGAATTCTCATTTAATGATTGAAAATCAGACTGTTCTCTTTCAGCATAGCCTACTGCTAACCCCTTCCTTCTTTCTCTTCCTCAGTGGTCCCATTCTTGTTGCTCTGCTGTGACTGTGGAGGTGCCCCTGGTGGGGGAGCTGGCTTTGAGCCTGTTCCAGAATGTTCTGATGGAGCAATTCACACATGGGCAGTAGAAGGCCCACAACCCGAACCCCATGATGTAAGTGCTAATCTGTAAGAATGGGATTTGGGAACCCACTAACCCCCGTCTTCAGACATACCCTAAGTTGTTGGAGATCATTCAGTCTACACTATTCTTGGATCTTCGGTACCTAATGAGGAAAGGAAGAGGAGTACAACGTACATCAAAACCCAACAGAAGTCACCAGGGAGGGCTTAAACATGAGACTCAATTTTTAAGTAGAATTCAAAAGCTTCCTAAATAGTATTCTTTTAGGAATTCTGTGACAGTTTTAGAATACAAAATATACCAGTAGAGAAAGAAAAGAGTCATTACTAATAGGAAAATGTTGTCTCGTGTCTTTTAGGGTATAGCCACCATCTGTGTGCCACAAATGCCACCTGGTAATGCCAACATTATAGAATGTATTGACAACTCAGGTAAGAAAAAGAGGAAGGTTAACTTTTGTTTTGTTTTGTTTTGTTTCACTTTATCTTTTCATTTTTTACAGAGAAAAAATATGCTCATTCTTGGCATAAGTATAAACACTGACCTATAAAACATTTGTTTATATTCTTAAATTGAAAGCAAATAGACAAAATACTTTCAAAGCCTTCCAAAGCCCTCAGCTAAGGTTGTGCACACACAGCGGAGTTTCTTTTTGCATGGTATTACAATTGCATATCTACAACTAATCTTGAACCAAATGTCTATACTGATTCCCAAGCAGAAACCAGAACTTACTACTGTAATAAAAAGAACAATTAAAATAACTTCTTCTGTCAATAGACATAGTCTCACTATTTTATATTTTTAGAAATAGTCTTACTATTTTATCTTTTTAACAACAACTATTACTTATTCATTGAGTTTTCTTTTGAGCTTGTGAGCAATTATTACTTTTTAAAGATTTTATTATTTTTATTTTATATGTATGAGTGTTTGCCTGCTTGTATCTTTGCACAGTGTGTGTGCAGTGTCCTCAGAGGCCAGAAGGGGGCATCAGATCCTTTGGATCTGTAGATCCAGAGAGTTGTGGCCACCTATGCGGGTGCTAGGAATCAAACCCAGGTCCTCTGCAATAGAACCAGTGCTTTCAACCAATGAGCCATCTCTCAAGCCCCTATATAATTCCTTTTCTACTTTGAAAACTCTAAAATGCACCAGACACAGGACTGTTTCTGCTTTGTAGAACTGGATTCAATGATCTGTTTATCTCCTGCACAATAGATCACCACTCTTTTTCTCATCCTGCCCATTTTGTTAGTGTTGTCACTATCTCCCCCTGCAGAAACCAGAAATTCACTGGATTACATCTGCCCCGTTAGTCTCCAGTTAGTTCCTAAGACCCATCAACTCATCAAAATCACCAATATTTATTTATGCATTGATTTGTCATTAAGTCTAATATGAAACTGTGTTTTTCACCAAACTCAAATTAGAATGCTGTGCCCTGGGGCATGCATCCTACTGTGACTCTCTCCTTATTGTCACCTTTTATGTCACTCCCTCAAGCATATGTCATGCTTCTTCCCACTCCTCACATCCAAGTGCTTTCCCAAGATGTTTCCAGAAGCCTTTCTTCTCATTGCAACTATGGCTTCTTTCAGAAAACCAGCGGCCTGCCTTCTACAAGATGCCATCTGCAGCCAGGAATGCATTGAGAGTATACCGATATTGTTATTTAACTTTTAGAATTAGAGCTATTTAATTCAACTGAGTTCAATTTGAAATCAAACTATTCAGCCTACAAATTTTTATCATTTCATTGCACTACTATCAACACATCTTGTAGAAAAGTCTGTCAAGTGATAATTAAAATTACCAAACTTATTCATATTAGTGATTTATAAATACTAATGAAATATCACAATTATCCATCATTTGTGCATCATCTCAAGCTCTTCTCTACTCACAAATACACCTTGAAGGAAGAAACTATACATGATAGTAAGTTAGTTTTTAGCTTACACTACACAAGAAATGTTAAATTTGATGTGCTCAATGTCTTCAGGAGTTTATACAAATGAGTATTGTGGCAGAGAAATGCAAGATCTGGGAGGAGGAGAAAGAACTACAGGGTTTGAACTAATGGATGGAGTTAAAGCATCAGCTGGACCTGAGATATGCCAAGAATATTCAGGAACATTAAGAAGAAATTCAATGAGAGAATGTAGAGATGGAGGTCTCAATATGAATTTCATGGAAAATTACTTCTGCCAGGTAAGGCTTTTCTGTCCATCCACCATCTTCCAAGCTTTCACCAACTCTCCTGAGGGCCTAACCCTCTCACGCATTCCTACCCATCTTTCAAGATTGAGATCAAATATCACCACCACCCTGAAGCTTTAGCAGCGTCCATGTTTATTCAATACCTTGCTGTTTTCTTTTTAACACAGTTTATAAAATTTATCATTGCTAAAAAATTGATAGTTTATGGGTACTGTTTTTAATTCCAACCCATGAATTATTTACATGATATTGCCAAGAAAACCTGAATCCAGAACCAAATTGTTTCATTTTGCCAAAAAAAAAAAAAAATATCAAGACCAGCATCCAGGTCAATGCACTCACCTTGCCTAAATGGAAAAGGAGAATGTAATCCTGAGAGAACCTGTCAACTAAGAGAATCCCTTTGGACCAAAAACAGTCCCTCCCACTAACTCTTTTGTACACACTATTTTTATTTCCCTCCTTCCAGATTAGAGATAAAACAATCACGTGTGGATTTTTTTCATGTGAACTTTCAGTTCAAAAGTGCACTATTTTAAGCAAGTTTACTTAAAGAGAATTTTACAAATCAAAACATACTGGAAATATACCTAAAATAACTTCAAACTGAATTCTTTCAAGCATCTATGAAATCATGTTTAAAGTAATTCTAGTGAATATTAGATACATTCAGCTTTTTTAAAAAATGTTGTTACTGTTTGTTTCATTTTCCTGTACAAATTCAGAAAGCTTATGCTTATGCGGATGAAGATGAAGGACGCCCATCCAATGACTGTTTGCTCATCTATGATATTGAAGGTGTAGGCTCCCCTGCAGGTTCCGTGGGCTGTTGCAGCTTCATTGGAGAAGATTTAGATGAAAGCTTCCTGGATACCTTGGGGCCCAAGTTTAAGAAGTTGGCAGACATTAGCCTGGGAAAAGAAATAGACTCATATCCAGATCCCGAACCTTCTTGGCCTCCTCAGAGCACCGA